AAAAAAAAGGGGCGGGGGGAAGAATAAACTAAAAGAAAATCCACTCATAATTTGTTAAAACTGCAATTTATGCAGTGATTAGTATAGAGAATTTCAACTTCCCACATTTGTGGTGACAGAGAAATTTTGTCTTTTTTGTGGGTTGATAGGTTTAGGAGATGGCAGTGAATCTGTTAAAATGCCTGTCATATCACCAACATAAATTGCAACGGGTGGTTTTACACCAGGGAGGCTTTGCTAACAGAGAACCTTCCATCAAAACCCTACTGTGAGTGCAAGACCCTTTCTGCGAGTGGTTCCTGGCCTCGGAGAGCAGCCGTGGCTCAGGGCAGCATGGACACCAGCATGGTCGGAGCACTGTGAAATTGTTTTAAACTGCTACTGCTCCCAAATTCTGTGTTTTTCCCCTCCTATTTCTACTGCATTGGAAGACTTTGAAAGCAGGGGTCTGCGACATGACAGACTGAGATAGGTTTGTCTGGAGGGATTGGAGTGTCTGAGGGGAAAGAGCTTTTTGTTTCTTTTTTATTTATAATCCCTCTTGCTTTCAGCAAAATTCAATGAAATGGCAAATGGGCTGGTGAAATTCTGGTTTGTTATCCCACTGTGAATCCAAGGATAGTTCTTTTGCCCTCAAGTAAAGTAGAGGAAGTGGGAGCAGCTTTTAGTTAAAAATAGGTAAGGAAGACTAACGCTTGTGCAGATCCTTCAGGTGCTGGGATGATTTTTACGCAGGAGACTGTGGTTACTGTAGATCTTGGATTCTCCTCAGGAAGAGGATAGGCACAAATTCACAGGATCACAACTTTGTTCTTTTAAAATTCCCACCTCAGGCTCTTACCGCCTTTGTCGATGTGCGGGGGGCTGCAGGGCCCCTGTGAGGAGGGAGAGGCGAGGCTGCCCCAGGCTGGACAGAGCTGGTTCCGGGCGGTTCCAGCCGGTTCCGGGTGGTTCCGCAGCTGCCCCAGCACAGGGCAGGGCTGAGCCCCTCAGCGAGGCTGGGGTGTCTCTCTGGCTGTGTGTGTCAGAAAGGGGCAAAACGCTGCCGGGGGTGAGGGGAAACAGTGTGAGGGGAGTGTGAGCCCCAGGGGCGAGGAAGAGGACGGGCTGCAGGCGCTGGAGCAGGGATTCCCTGGAGGAGCCCACACCCGAGCAGGGGCCGTGTCCTGAAGGAAGCTGCCACCCATGGAGGGGACTCAGGCTGGAGCAGGGGAAGAGTGTGAGGAGGAAGGAGCTGCAGAGGGAGGCCATTAGGTACCGACTGTAACCCCCTGTTCCCCATCCCTCCGTGCCACGCTGGGGCAAGGAGGCCGCGAGCTGGGAATGGAGGAGTGAAGCTGAGCCAGGTGTGGGTTTATTTTTGACTTTCTCACCTTTCAAATGTATTTTAATTGGCAATAAATTAATTTTCCCCAAGTTAAATCTGCTTTGCCTGCGGTGGTAACTGGTAAGTGATCTCCCTGTCTTTATCTTGACCCACGAGCTTTTTCATTTTATTTCTCCCTCCATCTTGTTGAGGTGAGGGAGCGAGAGAGCAGCTGGGTGGGCGTCTGGATGCAGCCCAAGATCAACCCAGCACTACTGATTTGGCAAATAGTGTCACACATCTCCCATTCTGTGCCTTATTCTAAAGTTTGTGCATTTGAGATTTTTGCATTTGGCTAATTTTTAATTTAACCTTTCTCATCAACATTCATCATAAAATAAAGTTGTATTCAGATTCTGGAACCAGCAACAGTTCTTCCCTGCGGTGGTTCTACTCTGGGATTCAATCCTAGTGAATGCCCAGAGAGAAAGGATCTCTATAAGGTCCTCTGGCAGCCCTGTCTTCAAGTTCTTATGTCTGGAAATAGATGTAAAATTTGATGAAGAGGATTTCTGTGTAACTTGCCAGGAGTGTTCTTAGGCCATCCACTATGAGATTCTGTCTGTGTTCTAAGGTCAGTTATAGATGCTACGTAGTCAGGAAAGTTAGACCGGTATTGGCCTAATTTTGAGATTTATTTTTTTTTTTCCCCTATAAAAACAGCGATCAAATACAAAAAGTGCTTTATTTTCCATAAAATTCCCTTGTCTTTGATCTTCTGTAGTCTGTATCCATTTCTGAAAGTGTAATGTAGTTTTTAAAGAATCACTAGAAATGAAATGTAAAATAGCAACAACATGCAGATAAATGAAAAGTCTACAGCAGCAGTAACTCGAGGAGCAGGTAGGAAATATAGAACAGATTGTCTGCAAAAAAAAAAGTAAAAACAACCTCCACATGCAAATATATTGTTCAGAGGTGTCAAAACCTGAAAAGTTTAGCAATTAAAAGTTTGTTGTGAAAACCCTTTAATCATATAGCTAGTAGTGACATCACTAATGTTTTTTCTGGTATTTTGTGCAAAGTGAATCTACTGTACTCAGAAGGACCTTGAGGCAAAGTCTTAAGCTTTGTACTTTAGAGACATTTTTTTTTCTTTATGCCAGCCTTTCTAAATATTTTAAATCTGTCATGTAAAGTTAAACAGGATTATTGACAGCTACGGTTTAATTAAAAGTTCTCCCAATCCTTAGCTGCATTCATACTGCAGCTTATGCACTATATTACAATCCTAGTAGTTAGTAAGAAATATGATAGGTTTTTTTTTCTATTATGTGGTACTTTTGCAGTAGACTATGAGGTTGACTATTCTGTAAACAACCAATTCCAAGGATAAAGATTTACCGGATATCTGAAACCATTTTGCCAGCAGAAGAGCCTTTAGAGATTCTGGATTTTATGAGGAGGAAAACAGGATCTCTATTGCTACTGCCCAATTTGTAGAATTAGGTGTGCATTTTATTTGAGTGTTCACAAAATATTCATGTCCAAAGTGTTTTGTTAATCTCCTACCTGTCCAATTAGTGTTGTCAAAATCTCTTCATCATTCTGAAAGTGCACATTCATAAGATTTGTCTATGAATTATAGTCATACAAATATAAAGCTTCTTGAAAGTTTTTCCCCTTAGACTAGATGTTTCTTCCCAAGATATGTAGACAAGCCAATAACATAGAGGTTTGAAGCTTATGTTCCGAAGTGAATACTTATAATTGTTTTTTTTTTTTTTCTTTTTCTTCCCCCAGTGGAATTTGATGACTGCAAGGGGAATAACAAATTGAACTTCGAAGTTTCTAACCCAGACTTTAAGGTGGAACGTGATGGGTCTTTAGTTGCGCTAAAGAATATATCGGAAGCTGGCAGAGCCTTGTTTGTCCACGCGCGGTCTGAGCACGCTGAGGACATGGCAGAAATTTTGATTGTTGGAGCGAATGAAAAGCACGGTGCATTAAAGGTAAGATCAATACAAAGGCCTGGAAGAAAGTGCCAAGGAGATGCTGCTAGATATTTGCATGTGCCATCTAGGACTGTAAGCAGTTTTAGTCTGTTAGAAGAGAGATCAAAATCAGTCTTCAGTTCAGATATTGCTGTAACATTTTAGCATTTAGTTCAATTTAAAATATTTTTTTTTTCACATTTTGAGAGGTATAAATGTTAAATATTCTTAAAGAATTGATTCAAATGAGAGTATCAAAAGTAACTGGTGGTTCTGGTGTACACTATGCCAAAAAAACACAGTTTGGCCATAACTGAAAATGGAATATCTCAGTCTAAATGTGTAATTTAGAGTTTACAGAATCTTCACATTCGCTCCAAGTCTAAGAATATGGGAATGAATTCTGTGCTCTGGAATTCAAATTTTCATATAGGTCTGCTTGTCTGATGTTATTATATGTTAAACTCTATGAACACGTTAAACTCTATAAACTCTATAATGTTAAACTCTGTAAACATTTGCATGCAAATAGCAACCCTGTCTCTGTGCACTAGTGATTTCTGTTCCACTCTGTCCGCTGAATGCCATGTCCTTTCTTTTTCACTTCTGAATTTTGGTGTAATACTTCACACCAGTGAAAGTAACAAAAGGAAATGTGAGATAGCCTTCACGTCTGTGTCACGGCATTTAGGAGAGAGGGAGGCAAGACAGTGGCTTACTAGATAATTAAGCCTGGTACCTTTGCAGACCTATAATTTCAGGGAAGTAAAAAGGAGCCATGATAAAAATGACTGATCTATTGTCTTATTTTGATATTTAGACTTTCAGCTGCCAGCATTCTCATTGTATTTCCAACAATAGCTTTGTATAACTTGTCTTCCATTAAAAGAAAAAATTAGCTTTAGGGGAAAGGTTAAACAAACTTCTGAAAGTCCGTGGCTGAGGAAAGGTTTTGATCTGCACTTTAAGCAGCGCATGATGTGAATATAGATTGCCAGTGGGAGAGAAAGTACCAGAATGTGTAACTGCAGAGAGCTCATCGGAACACTTAAATGGAATTTAATTCTATTTAAATATGCCATTTCTTCACGAAGTTCTTTTTTGACAAGGTCATACTTGAGAGAGCCTTATGTGGTGGAGCTGTGGATTTAGGACCATGCACTGCCAAATTCAGAGTAGAAAAACTACACTTGGACACTTGGCTGTCCTGTGTCTCAAACTAGCCAGGCCTGCTCCTTCTGGTGCATTCACAAGAATGTTCAAAATATTTTATTCTCACTCTGGGTTTTGAAATCTTAGGAGCAGTTTTAAAATGGGGATTATCATTCTCCAGTTAGAAGTTACTTGAAAACGAAGAGGAGTTTGAGACATCTCTGACAGGAGGTCTGGAGTCAAATTTCAAACATTTGGTTTGCGTGTGAAGACCTGACTCTGAGAATCATATTCTAAAGTTTTATTCTAGTTTTCTTGGAGATGGAGCTCTCTAATATCTTTGTGGGGAGATATTCTATGGAATTTACATAGGGGGAAATCTTGTCTCATGAGTAGGAATTATGAGATGTATAACTTGCACTGACTATGACATAGCTTTGTCAGTGACCTTTTCTCTTGATGTCCTATATCGATTTTGGGTAGTCTCCCCTCAAAATGTTCCATCAATATTAATTAATGCCTAGTGTTGAAATCTATCACCAGACTACAGTCAAAAGCCAAGTCTAATTTGGCCCCACTCCTGGATTCTCTTCCAACCACTTTGTTTTGCTTCAGAGAGAGAAAACCAGTCTAAATCTGGCATATTCTGCCACTTGCCAGTCTTCCCTCATAGGTGACTCCTCACAGCTGTCACAGCATCATCTCTACCTGTATTCATCACTTCTTTATAAATTGCAACATTCAGCCCATAACTAGAAGATTACCCTTCTCGTATGGTGATCCATGGTGTCTGCCGTGCCTTTGGGAGGTACATGATGCATTAATGTGTCCTGGGAGATCCATCTAGTGGGGATCATACACTTCTTCAAGGGAATATAAAAATCTTTGGGGCTGGTTGTCCTACTCTGACCTCAGCCAGCACTCTGTAGCTGTTATATCAAAGGTTTTTACCAACTGTTTCAGCTGTTGTTTGCCTATTTTAAACACAACACAGTCTTGTCTTTGTTTGTCATACTTGAGAAGGATATAAAGATTACAGCATCCTATCTAAAGTGATTTTATGATAAATTTGAATTTAATCCTGTACTTTTACAGTCTGAATGTGTCAGCATAGAAATAGTAGAACTTCTCCATCTGTTTATGCAAGGAATCTTGGCTAAGAAACGCTCAGATGGAGCCTTAGTAATTCAGCATAATTCTGTAGGGTTAAGATGAGCACATGCTAGAGCACTGCTTAGCATTCAGTACTTAGAGTACAGTACCTTGTTTAATTAGGAGATAAGTAGTTCTTAAGTATTTCCCCACTGCCAACAACTGCCATTTCTTTTCTGAAAGCACGTAACCTACATCTGTGAAATCCCATTGTTAATGTTTCTAATTGCAGATTCCCAACATGTTTGGAATTGACTGACAATAATGATCTCTAATGTGCCGACTGGCAGTCTGAGCCTAGGAGGAGATAGCATAATTCCTAAAACCTTGTGATTACTACCAACCATACTTTAGGTGAATATTGAAAGTATTTAGAGGTGCAATCCGGAGTGTGCAGAAAAGCTTTCGGTACTCTAGTGTTGAAGGGGTGTGGTACTTTCCTGATGAAGATGGAGGAATATTCCAGCTGGCCTCACTGATCAGTCCTACATGATTAACTTAAACTAACTTCACGGCCATAAAATAGTTAGTTGCTGTTAGAATACATTTACTATTTAACTACTTTTTGAGTCTGAAGGGCATGTTTTCTTACTCTTCTGCCAGAAGTGTATTAGATTTGCAGAGCCTGCAGCTTTATATCAAAGGATGGCCATGACTGCAGACGATAGATGGTTCCTCGACATCATCAGCCAGCTCGGCTGTTGCTCTTTGATCACAGAATCTTTTGCAGGGTCTAGTGACAGAGGAGCAGGTATAGCACTGCTGCTTTTCCAGATGTCTGGATGTTTCTGCAAAATACCCTAAACCCCATTAATACCTACAGATATGCATAAAGGCTATTGAGAACAAAAGTCTGTACATCAGGTTACAGTTAGAATGCTTTCTAAAACCTGCTGTTAGTGTCCCTTTCTTCATGTGTTTTTGGCTAGTTGGACTGGTTTCTGTCTGTCTTGATGGAGGGGAGCATTCACGAAAAAAAGCTACTGTCATTTTTGAGATGCACGTGGAATATGAGTTCACAGAAGAGTAGCCGTGGGCCTGTGGAAGGTGTAACTTTGCAGTGTGTTGTCTTTTTAAGGGTCATGTGTGTGTACACACTTGTACCCTCAGGCAATCAGAGTGCTCAATGAAAGTAATGCAGTTAATTCGGATTCACCATGGGGTAGGCTGGTGTGAGGCACATTTGTGCTCATGCCCTGCTTTGTCCAATGTTTGCTTAATACCCTTTCACACAGTCAGGACTTGTGTGATTGGCAATATTAAAAAAAATACATGGAAATGTTCTGATTCACCCAGGATTTCCAAAATTAACTTTGAATTCATTCTGAATATTTCATAGAATTGCTAAGGTTCAGATCCCTAATGGAAAAATAAATCACTTGCAAGCCCTGTTTGGGAACCCACTGACAAAGCTGATGAGTGGCAATAATTATTTTTTTAACTTTTATCTCATCCAGTGCTTGGTCCCTACTGTGTTTTATGGAAATAGTAGGACAATTGAAAGTTGGAAATTTCATCACAACTAAGTGTTTGACCAGACATTAGAGAATTTATTTATTTAAAGAGTCTGGTTTTGTGGAAAACAGAAAATATAGGCAATCTTTTGTAGAGTCTCATAACAGATTGTGAGTTGCAAAAGGCAGCAAGCTGGGAATTGAACTCCAAGGCCAAACAAAATGTTTGTCTGCTAGTCCTTCTCTCCCTCTATAATCTAATGCTGGTTTTAATGAATATACCCTTAGTACACTGGGATCTAAAAGAAAACCTTGTGAAACAATCTTTCTCTGTCTTTTTTTGTGTGTTAGCAAAATGCAGCTTTTTTTTTTTCCCAAAAATTTTATTTGTTACAGGGTGGGGGATGGGGAGGAATGTGAGATATCAAGAGTCTGTCACCAAAGCAGCTAAGAGGGCAGGCAGATATTCAGAAATTCCAGGCTGGAATTCACTGTATGGTGCTCAGCAGTCTCCCATACAGAAGGATGAAATGATTAAGTAGAAACTGTCAAACCCTCAGGACACTTTTCAGGCACTAGATGGAAAAGGAATAGGGGAAAGAAAAGAAGAGATAAGAGAGAGACACACATTACACAACTCTGAGAGAGCATGTTGTAGACAAACTTTAAAATCATCTCCAGCAGTAGCTCAGATTGAAGGAAATGAAGTTGCTCTAGTCCTGCTACTCTGTCCAGTCCACTCTGTAGCAGCTAAGGGCTAGTCAGATACGCTGCTTCTACTTTAGCCTTTGTCAAACCATCGCTTTTCCCAACATCAGTACACTGCTCTGTTTATTATAGTGGGGATGGGAGAGGCAGCCTGGCCAAAAACATCCCCAGCTGCCTTGCAGACCTGAATTTGGTTTTCTAATAAGTCACTGCCTGGATGTATATGTTTGTGCAAGTTGCTTTACACCTATGCTTCTGTTTTCTAAATTATCAAACAGAAATAATGAAGCTAAACTCCTTGGATTTAAACATTAGCATTTCTTGTTTGTGTCTTACTCTCTGCTTTATCCCTGCAGGATAAAGATTGCAAATTTTATTGATATAAGATAAAAAGTGCCTAGAGCCTTAAATCCTACATATGTGCCTTTCTGCTTTATCTCTCTGATGATAAAGGATCAATAATCTTATTATGAATCAGGATTCTCTCACAGAAAAAAATATTCACGCAAGGAAGTGAATAGTTGAGTTTAGTCTGGCAGTTCAATAATTTAT